TACTGTAGAAAAATCATCAAAAATTTGGGTTTTATGTGCTTCCAGCATGAGGAGGAATAAGTAAGTAAGTAATCATCTTTAAAAATTGATAAATGATAACTTTCCACGTGCGGTCCAGAATGTTTCATATTTCTTAAGATGGAAAAAGGAGACTTAATTAAGTTATTATGAAACCATTCTGTTAAGTACACTTCTGCAGTAGTTAGTAAATATACAAAGTGAGCCGAATATTACCACCAAGTTTACATTGAAACCCTTCGGATTTCAAAGCAAAGATGAGACATCTGATAATATTTTGCTACGAATTTATATGCTTAACCAACTTCTTAGACTTTTAGAAGAAATTCACCGAGAAAAATTTCAAAAGGCGATATAAATTCCAACCACAAGTTTTATACATTTAATTTGCTTGTCCTGTTAGGAGTGTTACTTGTGACACATTTTTATCCAATGTTTGTTTACTTACTTTTCATAAGTTCGGTTAGAACAACGTCATGAGCCAGAAACTGTCCGAATTGCATCATCATGTAACTTAACCGTTCATCAAACACCATATTGTCGTCTGCTCTGTGTATAATATTACTTATGTGGCGTGGACTCGGCAGTTTCCCGCTGCAGCCTATTGTACGTGGGCTACCCTTTGCTAGATCAAATATAAGCGTTTCATTATATGTAAAAAGGTAAAATATATTCTACCAAATTTTAAAAATAAAGAAACATGTCTCACTATTATTACTTACTTGGGTTTATTATACACAAAGCTGAAAGATGTACCATAACATAAAACTTAAAATTATTTGCTTCCTTTTACTTCTCATATTAATACATGCAGATCTAGACTATTTCACCAACCAGTCATACATGTATATATTTTTTTTCTTATCCCCCATCACGACCGAGTGGTGAAAGTCACTGACATTTAATGATTTGCCCCTGACCGCTGTTGGTTCGTATTCCGACTCTTCTATATAAGGAACCTATTCAGCTAGCTCTTCTTCTTTGTCTCGGATCTTTTCATTGGTCAGTGCACTTTATGCGTCAGTTTCTGACCAATGAAATACTTGAAATCTGCATCTGATCTGGTATACGGTCAAATGGACAGACCGCCACGGCGTCCAGTGCGTTATACCCACCCCCAACTCTTCTACGAAGGATATGGAACTAATGTTAATTTTATTGAATAAAAATGACACTTACCGTCATCGTATGCATTTGGCAAGTCCCTTCTTTGAGCCCTATGTGACTTGCCCCAAAAAGGGTTCCGTATATTATTACATGAGCCGTCTATGGTACGGTATTCGTATTCAGACGAGCAAAAAGTCGTCTGCGTGTTACACTCAGATTCTAATGAATGTGACGAGCGTCGTTTCCTCTGTTTTCTTAATGGACATTGTAAATCTAAAAATGCTGGATCACATCTGAAATTGATTTAATATTTTATCAAATAATATTTTATATTATATAAAATAAAATCTTGCTACGAGTCCAAGAACATTGTTAGTAGTAGTAGCGTTTCATCGGACATTGAAACAAATGATGAAAAATGCTAAATTCAAATATTTGTGTGGTGTAGTTGAACTATTATGGTGGTCAAATATATATGAAGTACTTGAATTCTCGGGTTCATCTTCACGAATTGACAATTTCAACTTTATAAATTAACGAAATTCTAACTTCGCGAAATTGAAATCGTGAATTCATAATATTGTATCAGTATACTCTATACAAGAGTAGTTCCAAGTTTTTTTCTACATTAATTCACTTATATTTTGAATTAAAGTCTATACAAAAATACAATGCGTCTATACAAAAATACAACGTGTCTATACATGTACATTGTATATATTAGAATGACTGAGGTGCCTTACCCATATATTCCAACATAAGTCATGATTGCATTGCATTTCTTATTACATTTCTCTCCATGTGAAATACCATGTTTATCTACACAACTGTACGGCTCGGAAATTTCCCCTGAAAACAAAAATGAATTTATAATTGAATAATAATATTATTCTATTGAAGTTTTCTTAAGGTAAAATATCTAATGCTTAATAATTTTATCATTTGATTCAGAGTATATCTATTATTATGTTTAAACTCAAACAATGTGATTCAATGCTGTAATTGTAGTCGGTTTTAAAATAATTGCAATCTAACTGTGATAATATTTAATTGACAGTTTTATTTACACTTGCCCTCTATGGCATACCACCAAACACATGGGACAGACAACAATGAAAACAAGAGTCTCTCTTTTTCTTGTGCTATCCTTGGTGCTGGCGTGCACGTCATGGCTTATTTATTATCATGTATGTTTTAAATGTCCATGTATATGAATTCTATACCGAAATAAATATATCTATCTATTAATATAACACGTATAATGTTTTGTAAGTAAAATATCAAACGCAACATTTAAAGGCCTTCGGTTAAACTGTATATGAAAAGGAAAAGCTGAGGTCACAATGAAAATTAACCACAGCTTCATCTTTTCATTATATGAAATTAAAAAAAAAATCTTCTGTCTCATTATTATATTTGTTGGGTTAAGATTTTCCAAATAAAAGAATATATCATAGAAGAGGAATTAATATAAGTATTGTTTTACTTGTTTTCCCTTCAAGTCTGATTTTCTTTGTTGTGAAATGTTTGTAAATGTTGTTTATGTACAATTTATTAGATAAATATAAAGTTAGGACTTTTTTCATACGTTTCTGACATTGTCATAAAAAAAACATTTACCTGGAATTGCGAACACTTATATACAACAGCATGTCTTACCTCTATAAAACTTGCGTATTGCTTCTTGTTCGGCATCTTGGCATGTATCCGCTAAGCAGGAGATAATTTGGACGGAAAGACACAGCAAACTGATAGTGAAAGTATGTAGAAATAGATGACATCTTCCCATCGTATGCTTATTTTAACCTGTATATAGGTAAAATAATAATTCAATATACAATTTCTAAACTATACTGTTATTTTCATATTTACATATTTTCATTGATATCGCATTTAATGATTTAACGAAGTTCCTTCAAGGGAAAGAAACCACAAAACTTGTGTATTTGTCAAAGTTCTTGATTATTTCCGATTTTTTAAAAAAAATATAACCATTGAAAATTCCCTGCGAAAATAGTCATTTAAAAAAAAGAAGAAAATCCCTGATGTTTCCCTGTGAGGAAGCTTTTTTCCAATATTCCTAGTTTTCCACCCCCATATTATGTCCCTCCATGGCCCCCATAAAATTCGTATGGTAAACCAAGTTTCTGTTATGATTTTATTTCTTTAATCCGTTCAGGAAAAAAACACGTTGCTTATTATGAATTAATTATCATTATGTGAATCAGATTGTTGAAAAGGTGAAGAAATAGGTTTCTCCAAGAACGACTGTTTGTTGTTGTTGTTGCGGTGGTGGTGGTTGTTGTTGTTGTTGTTTTGGTTAATTAAAACAGTCATCCTGGCGTGTATGGTTCCGAAACATCTAAAATACCTTCTGAAGTTAATGTAAATGTATATTGTAAGTAACACTCCTTGATCAATAAAACAATGATTACCATGACAGAGGTATGCATACATGTCATTACAAACTATTACCCCCTTATATCCCTTTGCATTGCTTTCACTCTTTCCGAACAGCAACAATCGCAAAGCAACACTAACTCTCATCTAGTAATTGTCTATAATCTTTTTTCCCCTACTTAATACACATTCTGAATGTGCGGATATTTTTTTCCGATTTTATTCGCATCTTGAATGTGCGGATATTTTTGCCTTTCCTGTTTTATACGCAACTTGAATGTGCGGATATTTTGTGCCTTTCCTGTTGTATACGCATCTTGAATGTGCGGATATTTTTGCCTTTCCTGTTTTATACGCATCTTGAATGTGCGGATATTTTTGCATTTCTTGTTGTATACGCAACTTGAATGTGCGGATATTTTATGCCTTTCCTGTTGTATACACATCTTGAATGTGCGGGTATTTTTGCCTTTCCTGTTGTATGCGCATCTTGAATGTGCGAATATTTTTGCCTTTCTTGTTGTATACGCATCTTGAATTTGCGGATATTTTTTGCCTTTCTTGTTGTATACACATCTTGAATTTGCGGGTATCTTTGCCTTACCTGTTGTATACGCATCTAGATTGTGTGGATATTTTTTGCCTTTCTTGTTGTATACGCATCTTGAATTTGCGAATATTTTTGCCTTTCTTGTTGTATACGCATATTGAATTTGCGGGTATTTTTTGCCTTTCCTGTTGTATACGCATATTGAATTTGCGGATATTTTTTGCCTTTCCTGTTGTATACGCATCTTGAATATGCGGATATTTTCTTGGATGTTGAGATACCTTTAATTCTGTTTTATTATATACATATCTTAATTTGCGATTATTATTTTTGCCGAATCCGTTTTACATTCCAATTCAACACCCAAACTGACTGTGCAGGATCCGTTTTGCATTTCCTATATCATACAGATTCTCAATGTGCGGATTAATTTTGCCTTTCCTGTTTTATTTGTATCTTGAATGTACGGACACCTTTTTCTCTTGCCAATTTTATACGCAACCTGAATGTCCGGATATTTTTGCCTTTCCTATTTTATACACAATTTTATTTTGCCTTTTCTTACTAATACGCATTATGAATGTACGGATATTTTTTGCCTTTCCTATTTTATTAGCATCTTGAATGCGCAGATAGTTTTGCCTTACCTAATTTAAACGCATCCTGAACGTGCGGATATTTTTGCCTTTCCTATTTCATGCACATTTTTAATTTTCCTTTCCTTATTGATACGTATTCTAAATGTGCGAATACGTTTTGCCTTTCCTATTTTTATACATGTATTTATGTATTTATATTTAAATGTGTGGTTACTTTTTAACTTTTCTGTTTTATTCGTATTCTGAATTTGCGGATCCATTTTGCCTTCCTTTTTTCATACAAACGCTTTATGGATGGATTCTTTGAACTTTCATTTTAAACGTATCCCATAAGTAGTATAGAGTATGATGGTTCCGGGACACTTTGAAGCCTAAAAAAGTGTTTATCTATCAAACCAAAGGGTAAGACAGCTCGACATAGCTTACCCATCAACCCAAAAAGTAAGACAGCTCGACATAAAACCCCATTTTATTGATTTAAGAACACCCTCAGGCCAAAATCCCCCCGGAACCATCATACTCTATACTACTCATAAATAGAATACAGGCGGGAACCGACGAGTCCTTTTTTATAATTAAAATATATATAAATGAGTTTACAAAAACAAATATATTGTTTAAAAGAACGAACATACACCGATAATGTAAATCCTCAATATGTTACAACAAAAAACGGAAGATTAATGATAAAAGCCGCGTGTGCTTCATGCGGTAAATTGAAATCTAAGTTTGTAAAACAAGGCGGTTAATCATGAGTAATAAAAATGTTTGTCCGGAACCAACTTTTAAATAGTTGCAGCCTATAAATCAATATGTCGTTCCGTATCACGTGTACAGTTTTCCGCTAAAGATCAATAGTGAAACGTCATCCAGAACATTCGCCTAGTGTGCAGCTCAATAGATGTTAAATGCGTTGTTATTATTTCATCAGCCAGGAATACAGAGTGGTTAGACAGAATGTAAGTTGTTTTACCATTTTTCTTTAACAAATATAGTAAATGAATTATTTATTCTTTTATCTAAGAAGTTCTTTCGTTAATCATTAAATTTTTGTTTTTATTTTAGGGCTGAACAATTTGCGATAGAGATGTTTAAATATATAAAATCCCTGGAAGATTTTCTTTCTCGTAAAACGGAGAACGGAGAAGTAATTACGCACGATGAATTTAATGAATGTGTACTTATAAAAACACAATTGAGTACATTTCTAACATTCATAATTTTATGAAAGATCATGCTCAACAACAAGTTACAGAAGATCAATAGCTTCGTTGAATAATAAACAAAAAGACTTAATAAGAACAGATGAAATAAAAAAGATTAACGATTTGGGATTGAAATCGTTGCAGCAGGTTCCAGATGTGCAACAAAACCTACGTCAACAAAGTAATAAAACAAAAGCAAAAAAAACATACAATCAAGTGAAAAATGAAGTACAAAAATCATATTCAAAAGATCGGAACTTGGCTGGAGAGGTTACGTTGGAGCTTGAAAACACCGACAGCTGTTTTAAAACTTTAAAAACACTAGACAGACATACGCAGAGTGCTGGAAGAACAAAGTTGTTTTATAATATTCAAAAAGGAGAGGTTTTAAAAAGAATCAAGGATTTTGAAAAAGGAGGTTTTTTAAACAAAATTAAAGAAAACGGTTTACAATATAAAATTTCACACTGTAACTTTTTGATTAAATTGTACAAGTTTTCACTCAATCATTCTAATATAATTCATTGTTCATTGTCATTGCATTTTCTACAAAAGCATTGGAGTGTTATTCCACGGATATTTGATGAATTGAAATGGTAATAAATTAATATTGAATATCCGTGGAATAAGAGTCGCAAAACGACGAGTGTCGGCAGATTGATTTTTCCATTCGCTGTGTTGAATATTGGAAAACTTTTGTAGAGGCTCAAAACGACGAGTGTCGGCAGATTGATTTTTCCATTCGCTGTGTTGAATATTGGAAAACTTTTGTAGAGGCTCAAAACGACGAGTGTCGGCAGACTATTTTTAAACATTAGTGAAATAGTTTATTATTGTTTGTTCATTTTCTTTTTGATTATTGATGTTTAAATGTTTGTATAATATATCATATAAAGACACTTTCTGTTGTAATAAATGTATGAAATATAAACAATAATAACCACACAGCACACACTTGTTTTATCTTGATACTGTATATTGTTTATAATTCAAACCTGGAATGTAACTGATTACCTCTTTTGTGGAGGAAGTCCGAAGGGTCGAAGTAATTATTTCTGTGATAACACACCCAATGTGTACCCGGTCCAATAAAGTCATCTAAATTTATTATCCCGCATTCTTTACTATTAGAAGGTAAATTATTTTCTACTGAAGACGCCTTGAAAGTTTTGAATACCAAGTTGTTTTACCCATTGTTCTATTTCAAAGTTAGATAATGGTTTGTTCAGGAATTTTATTTTTTTTTTACCCTGGGAATTCGTCTATATGGAACTCGTTGTGCATCAACCTGTAAACCCTTGCCACTTAATAATGATGTAATTAAAGGTATTCCTAGAGATGCTGCTAACATACCAAGGAAACCACATCTTGCCGTTGCTTGTTATTTAACTTAATTACCCCCGTCATTTCATTAATTGTTTTCTTTGCTGTGGTGTAATAAATGTAAATATTTTATTTCTTTTATTTCTTGCTACAGATTACCATACCGTTTCCAAGTATTATTTACTTACACCAGTGCTAGCCAAACCACTTAATGCTCCAACACCTAAAGGGGCTAATTATTTTTGGAGCTAATTTGTGTAATAAACGGAATTAAAGTGTTAAGAAAACCGCCTTGACTGCGCATTTGTTTCCGCGATATCTTAATTTCTAAGCCAGATTTATTCTGTTTAGCCCTATCAATTTTATTTTTTGTGTCTGTGTTTAAAAGTATTGGAAAAGTAATTTACCATTTAAATCTTCATACTTCAATCTTAAAAGTATACGGGCATTTATCTCTATATGATTTCGCAAGTTTGTGCTTTTGTCCTTCTGATATAATTTATTTTATATTCAACGTAAGACATTTATATAATTATATAATTATTTTTTTTCACCAAAGACGTCTGTCTTAAACAATAACAATTTCATTTCCAATAGTATTTAATTGAACTGTTTCTTCATACATTACAATGGCATAGACACAAATAGCTGCAGCTGGCGTACATTTAATTTTGCATCTAATGTAAGATGCTTGGATCAGATGCAATTTTTCTTTTTTAATTCCAAGTTAAAATGAGATGAATCCCGAACAAACCTCAAAGTTTGATATATTTAAAAGGGACCCAGTATTTTTATCATTTTGTTTTGGTGAAAATAATCTATTACATCGTCATATATTCTCGTTATACTAGAATATTCTGTTTCGGGGTAAAAAACACCATTTCCAACTTCAAGACGACAAGATTGCAAAGTACAATTTCTATTATTAGCATTTAATTTAAAAGTATCTAATAAATGAGGGTTTTGTTCTTGTGAATTACTTTTATTAGCTCTTTGTAAATAAACAAACACATGTTTAGGATTCATTACACCAGCTGTTATTCTAAAAATAATATTGCTTTGTTCTATATTAGATGATTGTGTGACCATTTCTCGAAGATTAGTTCCACTTTTTTGCTTTCAAATAATGTTCAGAAATCAAACTAATATCCTCAGCGTTAAAGATTAACCGAGGAACCCATAAGATAAGTTTAGTAACTATAACTCTTCCATTATCAACTCCAGCTGCCCTATGGATTAATTCATCGTCGTTTGTTAATGTAATGTAATTTGAAATTTGGCTAGGGGGCAACATATTATATCTCTAAACTCCGAAAAAATGAATAATTGTTTAAAAAGGATTTTACATTTAATTTCATTACCTCCTTGAGCTAATAATTTTCTTGCAGCAAAACCTTTATTAAATCCAGCCTGATTAGCTCTAGATTCAGCTACATTTGTATAATCCAAAAGCAATTATTCATTACTGTCCCTTGTTTCTGCATAATCTTTTCGTTAATTCAACTAAATTCTTACATTCACAACCCTAATATAAGTTATAACAATCATATACATTCTTTCCATTTTGTTTTTATAACTAATTGATCAATTAATGAAGCTGCATTGTTTATTCTACAGCAATTTGATCCAGCATTATCATAATTAAGCTCCGTTTGCCAGTTTATATTTATTTAAAATTTACCTCAAAATACCCATTGAACCAATTCATAATATGAAGATCTATCATCTATAGTAAAACTATATCCATTTTTCTGCTGGGGTGGACGTTATTGTCCAGGATTGTTATTAAAGGTGTATCTAATCGAATAGGTGTTTTTTTCATATCTTTCACAGTATTTGTTTTGATCGAAACATATATATTATATATCTTTTTAAATAATCGCCTTCCGGATAACAATTCATTTATTTGTAAATTTATATCTCGTCTTCCTGATCCAGATAACAAATTCATTTATTTGTAAATTTATGTCCTCAGTATCCTTCTTTCTAATTCTTTTACAATTTTTATCGCCAACTGGCGGAGGTTGTTTCTTCTTTTTAAATACACTGTTATTTTTATCAGCAGCTAAATTTCCGACTTCAGTTCCCACCTTTTTGGCGCCACTTTCAATAGCAGTTTTACCTACAGTTTTCTAATACTTTTTTACCTACAGAAGAAAATAAAGTGTCAAAGAAACCTCCTGCACGCGAGGAGATACCTTCTCCCGTCCAATTATCAACATGAATATATACTCCACTATTTTCATCATATACTTTTTGTGCATTATATAATTTACATTTCTTTTATAATTAATGTAAAACTTGTTTCTACTTCATTAAAATTGAATTTTTTTCTACCAAACACATCTGTATTATATATTCTTATCGAAATTTATAATATTTCTAATTTATTTCAGATAACAACCCTAATAGGTTCTTTTGTAAAAGGATAAGCTTTGTTAAATCCGCAGTACTCAATGCATATATCACATCACCAAATTCTCCAATCAACAATGAATTATCAATCAGATCACAATGTATATCAATTGTATCCACAGAATAGTTATATTTGGTTGTAAAGATCCCCATTCTGTTTTATTTACTTTTTTCTTTTAAAACCAAGAAGTTTACAAAATTCTGACAGTGTAAAATCTAATGAATAATTTTTCTATTAGTGATATTAAGAATTTTAAAACTACTCAAAATCAAATCTAAACTTATAGGTGCTATGGCAGAAGCACCATCGAAATCATATTACTTATTAATGTTTCTCTTATGTAATTATTGATATCTGTGTAAGAATAAGAACCATTTGTAAAGAAAATGTCTTTCCATTCCTTACCATTATTATAGCGAATTCTCTATTATCATATTCATCACTTATATTATGCCAAGAGTAAGTCAATTGAATTTATTGAGTCTAATCCAACAATATATCTTTTATTTTTATTCTACCGGCTAGATATTGTGATTATATAAGCCAAGTCTCACCTTTTTAAAGTTGAAATTTAAATCTGTTACTTAGCAACATAAGGTTTAAAATTACTAACTTATTAAAACACTAAATAATCATCCCTTTCATGTCTTTTGTAATTTAAACTCATAAATTATCCACATATATCAAATTAATCTTTGTAATGAATATAGTCATTCTTAGGAATAGTGAATGTCCAAACTAACAAATCAACATCAAAAACACCATGTACATCTAATTAAATGTATAATAAAAATGAGAAAGATATATATCCTAATAAATCTCAAAAAGACACAATACAAGTATGAATTCTTCAAGACTTTGAATCAAATTTGGTTAAAGATGACATACAGGGGAAATGAATCATATTATACAAAAAAAATCTGAAATTTAAAATAAACTGAATGTATGTTTATGTTTTTATATACCATATCATTTTAGCCTAATTCATGATTAATGTTAGGTTCTTAAAGCAAATGAAAATAAAATCTGGATCATTTGATCCAGTTACAGATCCTTTCCTTGTAAAGTCAGCACAGCGCCTTAAGTTTGGAAAGAAATTTACAGCTGTTCTTTCACTCTGTTTTTATTACTTAGCAGAGATACAATTTCACGTTTTGTCTCTAAAATTGATTCAATAACAACTCATCACCTTAGTGCAGTAACAGGTTAACTCCTTATGTAATTTAATAGGAGTTAACCCATAATTGCACTAAGGTGACAAAATGCAAGGTTCACATGTACAATACAGTTCAAAACAATTGTTGATGTAAGGATTAATCATAAATAACAAAAAGTACAATTATCTGTCCTTAAAAACAATGAAAATGCACTAACTAACTTATGTTAAGTTTTAAAGTCCATCTATAAAACTTTTTATGACTCACTCAAAATGATGCATAAGTGAACATTAAATATCATACGAGGAAGAAAGACAAAGAATCATAAAAAGATTCCAATATGAAAAACAACAAAAACAACAAAACAACAGCATCATGGTAAAGAAGCATTAAAAGAAAATAATAAAAAATACACTTAAAATTGCACTTTATCTGTAAAAACCAATAATCATTTTATGTGCTAACATAAAAGGAAACTGTCAAAATGTACATAGAGATAAAATGCCCACAACAGAGTCAGACAACCTTTATATAATATAATATAATATAAAAAAACTACCCTAAAAGTACATTGTGCTTTTGGAAAAAAAATCTTTTACAGACAGTTTTTTAATACCTTATAAGCTTTACCATTGACAGTAGAAATTTGACTTTTTGTTATTTTGCAAAATGATGATCATATACTAGTATCAGTTTATATTTTATAATGATTTTTGACAGGCTATATAAGAGTTGTGGGCTTATATAACCAAGATCATTTAACAACGGTTATATGATCTCTATTCAAATGTTATATGACCCCTAGGCAAAGCTAATATGATCATTAGGAAATGGTTATATGATCACTAGGAAAACCTAACATGATCACTATGAAAATGTAATATAATCACTTAGGAAAGGTTATATGATCACTAAGCAAAACTAATATAATCACTAGGAAATGGTTACATGGTCACTAGGAAAAACTTACATGATCACTCGGAAAAGGGTACATGATCACTAAGCAAAGCTAATATGATCACTATGAAAAGTTATATGATCATTAGGAAAAGCTTACAGGATCACTAGGCAAAGGTTACATGACCACTAGGCAAAGCTAATATGATCACTAGGAAAAGGTTATATTGTTACTAGGAAAAACTTATACCAAAAACCATTATAAATATACTGCCAAATTACCTGTCAAAAGTCTTAATTTATTTGATTCTTGAGTAAGCTGTTGTAAAATAATGCATGTTTGGAGTTTAAATGCCCAGGAATAGGCCCAGGTTATCACCAAAACCGGTGATTTTGAACAAAGTTTGATAAAGATTCAATCAAAATTGCAAACAAAAATTGTTGAAGCCAACCACTGACTGATCATAACAGTGACAATCACAAATATGTTTTTATTGCTACTAGGCTTCAAGATATTTAAAGAAATAAACAAAACTAATTGACAGCATTGTATTAATAGAAATTACACCTTCATAACTGACTCCATACATGGAAGTTATCTATCTTGAGTATAAAGATGTACATTTACAATACACTGTATCAAATCACAGTTTACATTTATATTTGTACACAATATTTAGTTACATCTACATCACAGATCCTCCTTCTCAAGGTTTTTACTGGTTTCCCTAATGCTACTTCTCTTCCTGCTAGTTCCCCTCTTGCTGGCCTTGTTGATTCCCGTCCGACTGGTTCCCCTCTTCTTCCTCCTCTTTAGCAGTTTCAAGCCCATTTTCTAGCTCTGGGTGCCAGGATTTGTTCTGTTTCTTACTCAAGAACAACAAAACCCTGTCCTCATCCACCTGTGATTGAAGAATAAACCAAAAGATATTAAAACATCTTTATACAGTGTTTATTGTAGTTAGTTAGTATAGGAAGCTTTAAGCTTATCAAAACACTCTTCAAAATGATTCTGGACCAAACTGGTACTAAACAATGAGTGTGAGGATTCTTGCTCAAGGAAACAACTGCTTGCCTTTAATAAGGGGCAAGCAGGCAATCCTTAGATAACTTATCTGTCAGGTGAAACTGTCCACCATACCATGGCTTAAAATCTTAAAAAATGCTTATCTCGCAAATCAGACAGTTATTATGCTCAATTTGGATCCTACATATATTTATAGCATTTATCCAGTGCTAAACCTGTTCAACTTTTTTCCAAAAGGCCTGTTGTCCTTTGAATTTGCATCTGCCCATCCCTTAATTTTCAAGTATACTGTTCCAAATTCAAAACAGGGCAAATCCATTTCACTAATTCAGCAAGTTAAGGGTTTACGGATTTCAGTATAATTATGAAACAGACCAATCAAAAGTATTGACAATACATGTATATAAAGTCTGGTTACACTGCATGGAATTTATTTAGGCTGGTCCGGCTATATACATGTACTTGTGGCACAGACCCGTTATTGCAGACCTGTTTACCCCATTAATGCCCTGTCAGTAGTCCGAAAGTGGTTTATCAGTAGTTTTAGCATTATACAAACATAGTGTCAAGACGCGTTAAATGTTAGCATTATACTATATACGTGTCAATGCAAAATGACTTTTTTTCACTTTAAACTTTATTTTGGGTATGTGATAAATAGAATTTTTAATTTGTGTCAGTCCATTACTGATTTTATTGAACTCAATAAATAAAATAATATTATGCTTGCCAGAGGCTCGCATAATATAATTTTATTTAACGCGTGCAATAAATTCAGTATTGAACTTACACTCATACAATATCCTCTATATCTTAAATGGACTTGTCTATCTTTAATTTTGGACCAAACCATTTTTTATGAAAATTTAAAATACATACTGACTGAATTGTGAATGGTGCAAACCATGAATAGACGAAACCAATGCCCGGTCTTGGGTTACACAATTAAGTCGCATAAATAGAATCTGTTGCTAGCAGCAGATGAAGGGTTGATAACAATTTATCATAAAATTATCACCATGAAAAGTAAATATGAAATTGTCACCTTATGATAATAACTATGAATTATAAACATACAATTATCATCTAAAGATAATAACTATGAATAATGATGACATGAAAATTATCACCTTATGATATCATATGAAGAAACAACACAAAATTATCATCTCATGGCATCTGTTTAATAATACGCAGTATAAAAATGAACACCTTTTGATAACAACCAATGCAATAATAAAATTATCACACCACGATAACAAGTGAAGAATAAGCATAAAAATCATCACCTCATGATAACTTTTATCACTGTCTATTTCATGAGGAAGCTTCTTAATCTTTAACTGATAATTCTTTCCCTTCAGGTCTCCTTTCTCACCATTCACAGTCAAACAAAAACCTCTGAAAAAATAAAAATAAAACATTGCCATGATTTATTTTGCATCAAACCCCCTTAAAGGACTCGACTGGAGTCAAACAGCCAAAAAACATAAAATTTGAATTTCTTGCCAAATCAGCCAGTGCACTTTCATAGAATTGAAAGATATGCAAAAGATACAGTAGTTAAGAAAATATACTCAGAAATTAATTAAATAGTATTTTGGTGCTATTCCTAGTTGGTTGCTATTCCTAGTCCGATTTCAGGAAAAAACATTGAACATTTTTTACTTTTTAATTTTTGAGTAATTCTTCACAATAAATGACTGAGAATAACTATTCTGAAAAAAAAACTGGGGTTAGGGAATTATCTGAAATTTTACACACAAGTTATTGGACTAGACCAACAACATTAAATGGAACTGTAATCTTGAAAAATTATTTCCAGTCTTGTCATGTTAAAAATCTCAGTGGAGTCCCTTTTAACCTGCTAATTTTTCTTAAATTTGCTTGTCCAGCTTCAATATTTGGATAACGTCCATAACTAATTTCGTGGATATCAAGATAGATGAAACTTTTTCTTTAGTTGGTCACTGTCAACCAACAGTCTTGTTAACTCCTATTAAATTAGAAGGACTTAAACCGTTACTGCAACTAAGGTCAACATTTCCATTAAATTGTTTTTAATTTTTTAGGGTTTTGGTTCTAAAAATGTTAAAAATTTAAGTTTAATATTTCCAAATAGTAGGGGCTAAGTTAAGAATTGTAAAGATTCACTGATGTTCACGCTGTCCGCTTACCATAGGCTACATAATGTTAAGGGAAATAAATCATTGGGTTATTCATTTCAAACAAGGTTAACTTGGCACTAAAATAAATAGAAGAACTAACTATCTTTCTACCCTTTTAGCCTTATTCTTAAGGTCCCTGAATTTAGTGATAAACTTAACTATTTTGTATGGATGTACCTGTAAAGGTCAGCCCCGCAATGAAATTTCAAGAGAAATAAAATTCTTAAAAATGGACAATGAAAGCCTCCAAGACAATCTTAGACGGTTTATGGCGCCAGTTGAGCCTTACTGTGAACCGACACAGAAACTGGTGAAAACGGCATTTTATGTCAAATAGTTTTACTTCATTGCAACTTACTGATTTTCAAACACCGTATCTATTTTGCATTAGATGGCTTCTTTTACTGTTTTAAGGAGAAGTCCTTTTCTTACAATATTAGTTGATGTTTTTCAAGTTTTTTCACTTTCACAATCACCCGGACAAATCCATCTTTTTTTCCTTTTCATCACATGCTGAAAAGAGTGAAAAAAAAATGCATACATGTAAAGGGAAGAATTTACTAAGTCAATCCATAGTAAGGAAATAGTATCAATAAAAACTGCTTCAAAACGTTCTTTTTTGAATAAACAACAATAAGGTAAGTTAGAATTTGAATTGACCACAGGCTATTTGACTTGGGAAATATTTTTGAAACATTGTTTAAAATATCATTTAAAAAAAATAGTCAAAAAACAAATAAGATGCAAAATAAAAATTTATGGATGCTGATTTTCCAGTTATTTTTACTTAAAAATCTAAGTGTCAAATTTATCTAAGACTGTTTGTGGGGTAAAAAGACCATGTTTTGGTATACCTTATTCAGGACATTAAAGAAGTACCAGTTTTCCATTTTAATACATAAGTTTTGAAGTGTAATGTAAAGTTTTTTTTAGGTGGGTTTATTATTTAAAAATAAAATATACAGGAAAGATAATTGAAGTTACATTAAATAAAATTTCATAAAAACAGAAATAGCGACATTTCATTAATAAATTTGGGTTTCATATCGTCTCCAGATCTTATTTTGGTGTCCAGACAACCAAAAAATGAGTTTTATAAGCATAAAAAATGACAACCTCATTGTGGCGAAATCGGAAGTACAATATCTGTTTGCATGATAAACTCCGCCTTCAAATCATCCGTACATCAATATTAAATCAACAAACATGACTATATTGTAGCAGTCCTAATTCAACCCGCGTATATTCCGTGCGACTGTAAACAGATGTTTTTAACAAAAATTCAATCTTTTATTTATGAAAGATGATTTTTAACCCTTTTACTGAACCCTTAGGGCCTATGCAAACCGTGAAGTTTAAGGTTAAAAGGTTTTCACAGAAAAATTTCAATATGTTGTGTTCCAGATAGCCAGTTATAACACTGTGACTAGTGCATACACAAGCTGTTATAATCTTCATTTGCCATGTTAAAAAGTTCGTATACGAACTTTAGTGTTACCGTGGGGTTTTTTCCGTTTTTAAAATCCTTAAATTTATGAAACAAACATTTTGAATGAGATTTACAACAATACTGTTAAAAAAGGTTTAATGACTCTTAGAAATGCTTGGGTTTTTAACGGCCGACGGCAAAATAATTTCTAAAACATAATTTTATTTAGTGTTGCCTTTAAGCCCCTATTTTTTGCAAAAAAAAATGTGTGATTCAGTGTCAGAGTTATCCTCTCCAATCAGTATAATCCAGCAGAAAACTGTATTAGCATTTTTAATATAAATGCAAATTGTTGGACAAACAAGTTCAAAAATTGTTAGTGACAACCACAAGGCCCCAAGGCAGGTGTTGGATAGTGGTAAAAATGTATCCGTTTTCTCGAGAAAAAATTTATTTGCCCATTAGAAGTCAATTATTATTACCAAAACAAATTCAATAAATGCTTACAATGAAAAAATAATAACAAACTGGGTAGGGAAAAAACCAGTTTTGAACAAAGGGAAGTAACTCAACAAAAAAAGGATCATCCATTGCAGGCAGTAAGAGTTAAAAAACTTCTTATTTAATTAAGTGACGTTGGTAAAGTAAGCCGAATAAGTAACAATATACATAACAATACGCCATGATTTAAGATTTGCTAAAAACTTCATTCATCAGTGAAGTTTTTTTCTTGGTGCTTCAGACAGTGACATTATAGAGCTTTCGTGCAAGATTCGTAAAAGCTGTCAAGGTAGGTTTGACTTGTTGTTCAAACAGTGACTTGATCGATTAAAATTTTTATTTTCTTGGCGAAAACGGGTTATTACAAAAAATATGGTGTAATCAACCTGTATTCTAGAGGAAGATATTCAATTTTTGTTTTCGCTTTTCAGTGTCAGCCATGTTTAAGCAAGTTTAACTTCGGGTACAGGGTGTTTCCAAATTTCTAAAAAATGAACGGCCTAAGGACGCTATTGAATTATTCTATCTATACAGTACTTACTGTTATGTTAGGCATCATAGTAACAAAATTTTATGATTGTAGCAAGCGGTCATGAATGATTTTTAATAATTTAATGGGACAACATTTAGTGACGAAAAAGGCATACAGTACTGTACAGGATATACTGTACAGTACTGCCAGTTTGAATTTCTGGGGAAAAAAGCCAGTAAGCTTTGCTCCTAGGCTAAATGATACTAGTTTGTAAATGTATAATTTATTGCCCTGATATCTAATAAATAAATTTAAAAATAGATTACTAGACCTTACAAATTATGGGAACAAAAATTACATAAAAAAATGCATGTCTGTGAAAAAAAGAAAGAATACAATATTTATTTATTTAAGACTAAAAAATAAATGCCATGTTCATATTGCAAACTAAATTGACATTTTTAAATGTTGTCTATACGCAGCAAGGCTCATTCACCCGTTAATAATTACAGGGGGCCCTTATGAATACAACTTCACGAATATGTGTAAATCACATTATTTATTAATAAATCTGGTTAAAAATAATTGGGTTTATTGATGTATGTACCAAAACAAAATGGGAATGCAAAATGCA